ATCTCCTTGCGTATTTTTTGTAAAATCGACAACATTTCTACAAGGCAAATTATCTACACCTTCAATATAATCAGACACATCAGATATACGTGCATTAAAGTCACCCATAATACAAAATTTACCTAATTTCTGGTACTCATATATATTGCTTAAAAGCTGGTCAAAATAATCATGTGCATCGACATATCTTGAAGATCCCATAGGCGGCAAATAGCAACCACAAATATTAAACATTTTATCATTACATTTTGATTTAAAACTCAACCATAAAATTCCCTCATAACTTTTATCTAAAATTTCAACATTAAAAAGCTCTATCAGTGAATTTTTTACAAAAATGCAGACTCCACCAGAACCACATCGTGCATTTGAATGAATAGTTTTTCTATTATGACCAAAAAAAAGATAATCAGATAATTCAATACTTCTATCACCTGTGAGGTGTGTTTCAGGAATAACAATAATATCAAATTTTAATTTATCAATACTGTTTGCTCTAAAAATATAATTTTCTGAGGAGCCATTAATATTCCACCCATTCACATTCCAACAACCAACTTTAAGCTAACAATCATAAAAGTCTATGTTAAAATGCTGTCTCTGTCTTCTATCTTCCCTGTGCCTGTGGTTGTACCCTTTATCTCGGCTGCCTTCCCGGTGTTGCGCATAGTAAACGTCACGCCCACCAGAATCTGACTCATGAGAAACACGTCCCCTAGAATAGGAGTTACCATAGTCATGACTTCTGCCAAAAGCATTTCTTTTCATCCTGTGCTGTCTTTCGTACCTATATATTCCATTGTACCCACCCTGTCCATTACCCCTACCTTGTCTGGGGTTTCTACCTTGATTAAACATCCCCGCCTGTCTCTGAATTCCACGTGATACCCCGTTATTGCCATTATGAACACTACCAGCACGATCATTATTTCCTAACATCTCATCCCTATGTTGCTCACCATGATGACGGTTACCTCCATTCTCAACCAAACGAGATCCACTGACCTTGAGACCAGAGACGCCTAGGTTTGAAATAAGTACCCTAAGGTTGTTTTTGTTGATTCTATTTTCTAATGGTTCATCAGGATTGACATACACGGTTTTATATTTCTGAGTATTTCTCAAGCCCGTTTTATTTCTTAACATTCTATCCCGGTCCTCAGCACTATTGCAGGTCACAATAATAACTCCGGGTTTATTGTCACTACGTTGTTTCCTCTCAGCCGACTGAAATCCAACATCTGGCAACATTAGCCCATCCGATATTAAATCTGAGACAATTTCATAAATATTTTCATTTTCTCTTTCTGGGTGGTTAAACACACATATATTGAGTTTTCTGTCTTTTGGCATATTCACACTATATAACTTACTTGAGAGCACTTCAACTTTTTCCTGTAAAATTTTTATATCTGTATTTACTTCATCTCTTAAGTCATTTACTTGTTTTTCAGTATCTTTTCTGTTCTTTTTCATTTCTGTATTCACTCTTTTATCTAAAATGTTATTAAATTTTTGTGTTAAGTTATTTTCAACTCTATCCGCCATGTTATCAATTTTTTCATAAACATCACATCGCAACTTTTCCATTGAAACAGACACATTTGTCATTTCATCTGCAAATTGTTTCAACACATCAATCAAGTCTTGATTAAAATCAGTGTCTACAGGAATGCTAACATTAACATTTGAGGAAGTGTCTTCAATATTTGAAGTTTTGTTTTTATTGTTACCTTTTGTACCTCTTAGTCCTTTAGGTTTCAACTCCTTTGTTTTACATGATTTCAGTTTTGATTTATTCAGTGGTTGACAACCTTTATCACCATTTGCCTGTAGGTTTCTTCTAGCTCTCGTATTTTTCCGACTTATTTTCTTGAGTTCAGTCTCTTCTGTTTCCTGTTCCCCAGGAAGAATAATTATATCACTCAGGGTGATGGAACCTCGAAAGTAATGGAATCACATAATTAGTGTTTTTTAAAGGTTGGCACGAGAAAAAATGGTGTTTTTTGAGAAAGCTTTAACTGTTTATATAAAGAAAGAACCACGCCGGTCCAATAACCGGCCATGCTATTTAGAACTAAATCTCGATGCTAGAGCTTTGTGTCTTATATTGCTGTAAAGAAGAACAAACCTCCAAACTAATGGAATTTCTAATCCGCAACAGAATCACACAAATCGTGTTGTAACGCTCTTTGCACAAGAATATGATGAATTTTACTGAAATGTACAGAAAAATCAAATCGTCGGTCAAAAAATTTTTTGGATAGAGCTCTGTAAAAAAGAACTTTCAAACCAATGGAAATGCTTATCCGCAACGGAATCAGACAAATTGTATTTGCACGGCTAACAGCAGAAAATGGTTTATTTACAAACATTTATACACTTAATTATAAGTTAATTTATAGAAAGAACAAGTCATTGATAAAAAGCGACAATTTCTCTTGGGTAAGATCTGTGTTTCCTATACTACTGTAAAGAAGAATCCAAAGATCCAAACTAATGCAATTTCAAATACGCAACGAAATCAACAAATGGCGTTTTAACAGTTGGCTCCAAATAATGGTGTTTTCCCCTCGAAAATTCACACATTTTATATGCTTAAAATCAAATCACCAATGCAACTGTCATTTTTCCTTGCGTTCGATATTTGAGCCATAAATTGCTGCAAAAATACATCCAAAGTAATACAATATACCGGATGACTACATTAAAAATTTTAAGTACGAAGCATTCATTTTAATATGACTCACTGTACATGACGAAAATTCTTGTAATAACTTGCTCTTACGCGCGAGTTTATGTCATACATCAACTTTATCACGTATTCATAAATTTGCAAAACCACTGTTTCGTTCCCATTTGAAATAATATAGACCCAAGTTTCAAAAGAGTTGAGTCTCTGCTTAAAGGCTTGCAAATTTTCAGTCGATCAAAGGATATACAGAAAGAACAAATAGCCGATCCTTTTTAACGGCCATGCCATGCTGATTTCTTGAGGCATATCAATTGGGTTAATGCTTTTAGCCTTATATTGCTGTAAAGAAGAACCTCTAAACTTATGCAAGGGCCAATCCGCAACAAAATCTGACAAATGCTTGGCATCAGAAAAATGAAGGGTTCTTTTACAAAGAAAGTTTACACTTTATAACAATTCCTCAGTCCAAAAGACGACCATGCCAAGTGAAGCTTTTGAGGTCATTTTTTTTGGTTGGAGCTTTGTGCATAAATATTGCTGTAAAAAGAACCTTCAAACTAATGAAATTGTTAATTCGCAATGGAATTAGACTGATAGTGCTTAAACGGTTGATAGCAGAAAATAGTGTTGTTTCTCTGCAAAAATGCTTTAAAATTTTTAGTTGTCCATTTTCAATATTTGTAAAATGTGTAGGACCAATACAAGCAACAAGGTCTGAACTCAGTTAGTGCGCGTTCATGGGACTAGGAGATTCATTTCTGTGTCTAAATGATGCTTAACCCGCTTGGCACTATCGTGTTCTACCATACCTTCGTGACTTATCTTGTCCTTATCGCATGGTTAGGATTTCTTTCTTTGTTCTTACTAACCCAATATATTCAGTACACTTTCAATGAAGATTATGTATTGAAATTGTGCTGTTTTTGCATTGAATCATATAGAAAAATATCAACTGATATATAATATAACAATGTAAGATTTTTTTTGCACCTGTTATATATAAGTGTACTTTTACAGAGCTTGGAATGAGGCAGGATATCAAACATTCCCAGTAGCAAAAAAAAAGATAGATTAATTAGCTGGTAATGATTAACTTATCTAGGATTCACATTTTAAACAAAAGGGAAAGGGCAAAAAAGAGGGAAAAGCACTGATCATGATGGAAATGATGAAATATTGCGATAACATAGTTATAATATATGAAACTGGTATTACACTAGCTGGGGTGACATATCGGGATGTTTTGAAAAAAAAAAATCGTGCCCACCCAATGTTATATCCATGTTTCTAATTCGTTTCATATACTACAAGGAATTCGTAGGAATCAGCTTTTCATGTTATTTGTTATTTTCTAGAAAACATGCATAAGACTGTATAAGACATTTATTATAAACTGAAGCCCAGACAATAATCTCCCCTTTTTCACAGAATTATAAATGGCACATCTGTTCCAACAACATAATGCAGTGTCCGTGTGCTAATACTTTTACACTTTTCCAAAGACTACAAGTTTTTATGCAAATTCGTGAAGTTGAAGTCGTGAATTCTCGAAGCTGAAATCGTGAATTCCCCGTATGTTGAAAATGGGAATTCACGAAGTTTAAATTGTTAATTCATGAAGATGAAATCGGGAATTCATGAAGTTAAAATGGCCCTACCGGTCTTTCGTATGAATGAGAATGAACAACTCACTTCCATTTCAAAGAGAAATTTGTATCTTTTGTTTTGAAAGATTATAAGGTTCACCGACATTATGAGGTCATGTATTGACTTATCAGCTCTACTAATATAAGCTTCATGTTAAGCTCTATAAGCTCTACTCTCAGGTGCTCCTTCGTGCATTATATTAGGCACCATGTAAGACTACAGTTAGTTGTATAGTCTCTTCACATATGATATGGATCCAAAGACGCTGATTGTTTCCGAGCAAACAATGGTGTGGGGCAATTGGGTTGACGCCAGTGACCTTACTTATTCAGCCGATGAGGCCTCATATGCTTATTAAATAGAAAAGCCTCAACTGTTGTATGATGGATTACGCAGGTGCCCGTGTGAACAAAATAAAAGGGAAGAGGAGGAGGAGGTGACGGAAGAGGCATCTGCGGTTTTTACTTTCCAATAGACCCGAAAAGTCTTAATGTTCAGTGTCTTAAAACCTTACTATCATAATAATGATAAGACTAATAAATTATAAAAAAGAACAAACACAAAAACTTATTTTTTACTTGAAGACATACGAGATATTGCGCACATTTTCAATGTGAATGTGCCAGGTGGAAATAATACAAAACATAAACCAAATCAATTCAATCTTGTCCAATTTTATTCATTTGCAGAATATATATCTAACGATCAATTTAAATTTCTATGTCTCATGGAGATTGTCATAGAATTCTTTGCTTCTGCTTTCTGTTAGCCTGAAAAAAAGAAAGGCGTCATATATTGCGAAATAATTACACTGATATTTTCGGAAGCTTGTTGACTCTCACAGTTGACCGTTAATATTAAATGTATGGCCTAACTTCATCAATATAAAATAAATTGAACATATTGTCATACATACTTTAAAAAACTATGAAAATTAACTATTGTTTATTGTCTACATACTTGCAAAAGACAGACATACAGACAGACATATATTTTTGGGGATTTTGAAAATGTCTATCTAACACATTGTACATTTGTCATGAAAAAAGTGATTTGTACTTACTTCTTGTAAACACAGGTTGAACCACTTTAAAAGTTGTCGTCGCAACTCAATATGGTACAACGGACCTTATTTTACTATTAGCACAAAAATAAAAGAAGTAAATAAAAAGATACCAATGATTTGTTGAACATGGGCGCTCGTGCAGTTCATGTTACAGAAGTCCGAATGACAACAGTGTTCACATACAGGTGTGTGACGAGCATGGATGTCTCTTTTACTAGTGCATGCCTTAAATATAAACAAGAAGTACCTTTAAAAATACTCGGTCGAGCTAATCTGCTTTTACTTGCAAAGGTTATTTCGGCTTTTTAAACAGATAAAGAGATGTAAGCTTAGCGCTTGTTTAATTATAACAATAATTTCGTGTTCAAATTCTTATTTTATCGAAGATGCAACATAAGAATTTGATTGGTACTAAGCATTTTCGCTTCTATTTATTGTTCCCCTTATCTATATTTTATAGATGATGAATGCCATTTTAGATTTGAATAACGTTTTAACGATACACTTAATCTTCTGATCTGGCACACAAATGCGATTTACCGAAATACACTTTGAATCCGAAAGATTCCAAATAACCTTCATTCATTTTATTTTTTTTTGTAAAAATAATTTTACAACAGTTGGCATTTAATAATTAGATCTAGGAAAAACTGTAAGATATTTCAAAATGAAACACTTGTTTCTTAATTGTACTTACACTGATGTATTCATGTACAAATTAATATGTGCTTCATTAATATGCAAAATTTACAAATATGAGAACCCTGAGATTCAAATCAGTTGAGCACATGAATTATCATATAATAACATGAACATTGAACACAATATATTGAGAGTACAGAAGAGTTCGGAGTTTTTAATGTTGTGTCTGTCGGTATTTTCTTGCACATGAATTTTTAGAATCATGTACGTTGTTGGTGGTCACGTTTCTTTAGACAAAACTTGTATGTAATTTTATTCATATCACAGTTAACTCATATGTTAAAGGGACATTATGCCTCAGAAACAACTAAAGTTTTAATTCTTAGAAGAGGTAACCATACATTTTAGTATGTTTAGACAATGGCTTAAGAGAATGTTAGATGCGTGTTACCAGAAGAAAGTAGCGATCAATGTGAAATAATTTGTCATAAAAGTAGCAAAATGTAAGTAAAGTAGTATTTTGACCTCCATACAAAATACTTATTCTAAAATGTTTTTTAGGAGGAATCACCTTTAGATTATTTAAGACTTTAGAAGGATATACATTTCACCAATTCATTCTTCTATAATTATCAATTTTAGATTTCTAATTATATTTCCTAATTTCAGGTTGTAATTTTACAATGACAAATGCAAATCATACATTTTATCAGTTCTTCCCTGCATATTTTACAGGAAATCAAACTGTTTTTAGACGAAGTTCATGTGGGTTTCTGAAGGGATTCATTTAACATGTTTGGTGTGATGCTTTTCCAAACTGGATTGATTAAAAACAACATGCAAAAACTGCATTTTTACGAAAGTTTACTTAAAGCAACATGCCTTCAGGTTTGTGGTAATTTAAATGAAACTGTTAAAACTGTTACAATAAGTAAAACGGTTATGTAATCACCGATAACTAATAACATACATTTTGTCAAAATATATAGAAATTTCTTTTAGTTCGTTAGTAACGGGGCCAATTTCGATAATAAAAATATTGTTATAGATTGCATAATATAATAGTTTCATTTTAATGATTAAACAATATGAAAGTAGGCAAAGCCTATGAACGGAAAATTTACATAAAAAAGGTGTCATTCGGTATTTCATGCACCGCTTCAGTTTTCAATCGGAACATCTAGGCGATTATTCTTAAGTTGAAATGTTGCGATTGTTCCGCCGTCGGTTATCATAAAGTTACATTACAAATGGCGGCGTCCGACTTGAAATGACACTGATAGGTATAGAAATCTACATATTTTTAATTGTTTTTATTTGGGTTATTTTTAAATACGCGTATACCCGTTTAGTCTATAGCCAGGCAAGCCAAAGCACTGGCCTGTTTCGCGGATCCCCCATATTAATACATTTCTCCAAACTATACGCTATTCTAAGATTTAGTTTGTTCCTCTGGAAATGTGTCGCTTTAAAAGATAAATTACCTGTCTTTCTGTGCATCCCATTATGTAGTTATAACCACTTCCCCACTCAAACTTCTCTATTTTGCAAACCTGTGAAATACAAAAGATGACAACGAAAGTGTCAATGAAAAAGGGTTTCTGAGCGTTCTTGGAACAGAGATTTGACTGCTTAAATTTCGTCAATTTGTTTTTTTAACACTATGTATTTGAAATAAAAGAAAATAAAGTGTGATTGTAAAAGTACTTAGTTAAACAAGTTTGTGCTCGACGTCATGTCTGGCACTAGGGAGTTGAAGGGTTGAAACAAAACATTTAAGGGTACCTGATCAGGACGACACATCTGAACTTTTTTGCAGACCTCTTCTCCTTGATGTTCACAGTCAAAGCAAAATGGTCCTCTTGCATCAAAATTGGAAAGTCCTGAAAAAACACAATCACCATTATTTGCTCAACACCAAAAACCTCCACCACAACAACCCCTCGAGGAAAACAAAACAAAAAACAAAACAACATTGTACATCGTTTACTTACCATTAAAATAAATATGACACAAACTTTCTCAATGAATATGCATTCTGTTAATTTTTGAACTTGTGATAAAAAACGGCCTGAGAAATTGCGACAGCGATTTAAATATGGGATACAATTGTGATACAATAAAGATAAAGAAAATTCCAATTCCCAAAACAACAATATTATGTCATTTCAGATCATATATCTTCAGTTTAAGATATGAAAGTGTTAAAATAAGGCAAAATAATTACCGTCGTCACCACAGCCAATATTGTTACAGAAACTACCATGACAGCATTCTTGACATTGCACTTGATATCCATGACCTTGACATGCCTAAATGATACATAAGTTTTCCTGATTAGGCGCTTATTTACGAGATATCTCGAGATTTCATCCTTAATGTTAACCAGTTTAGGAATTAAAAAATGCTTGCTTGTTATTTCATTTCTTTAAACACATAAAGTAATAACAGTTTTCGAAATTATCAAAATTAATTGGCCGAAACATTTAACGCCACAGGGGACATGGTGGCATTTTTTTTCATTACATATCTATATCTCTGACACCACATTTGTGCACTGCCATTGTCGCACCTCAAAATAACAAATAAAGATCCTCCATACTTGTTAAAAATTTTGTGATGGGATACAGCACACTAAGTAACAGAAAGACACAAGACAACACTCATAGATACATAATCAATATCAACTTCATCTTTATCAACAGTTTCGCGCTTTGTTTTCTTGTTTCGGGCACACGCATTCTTTTAATTGGGGGCCATACGTCGCTTTTCATGGAATGGCACTGACGTATCAGATTGAAAGTTCCATGATAACCGCCGTATGAACATATCTGCGTATGTTTTTAAATTCAAAATTTCACCATTTTCATGTTTAAATGTTGAATTCTGCTTAAGGCGGTACTAGAGGACATGGAGAGTAGTTTGCTCTTGACATTACCGTCCATGAACAGGCTCAATCAAACCGAGCCTGCAGCATTTTAAATTTTGTCGTTTTGAACCTACTTTACGGATTCCTATTTTCTCTATTTCAATATCTTATTTGAAACTCACGCTTTTATCCATACAGCCTGACCTATATAGTCTCCCGTTGTTACTTCTGGTAAAACTTTGGACATAACAACTCTAAATAAAACAAAATAACAAAAAAATTTATAAAAAAGTGTACATACAGTATAAATCATAAAACTTTGAAAAATATTGTAAGGAACAAACTTACATGATTCTAGTCGAAAACACTATTCAAATAACAAATTGAAATTAAATTCGATATTTTGGAGGGTTATTCTTCCCCCGTACGATTTTATCCTAATTATACTAGTACAATAAATAACAAATTACATATTATTGCAATCATGCAAAGTTTATTAGATTTTAAACAAGTCGTACACATCATAGTAAATGGATTTACCACTAAGATAAATACAAATATGAAATATTTCCAAGTTTAAAATACCAAATAATGAAAATGCTTTTAAGACAATAATAATTTTGTTTAGAAACAAGTAACTCGTGTATATTGATATATACCGTGAGGATATATGAATTTCAAAGAATACAACTTGATTATATTCTTTAAAAAAGCTTTTTTTTCTGTTATGACGAAAACAATGATAAATGTAATCCCAAACTAACAACCAAAAAGGAGTTTGACGAAATCTGTTAGGTTTGTGAATGCATAAACAAGAAACGGACCACGTTTCCGATGGAAACGCCCGTCTCTATGGTTTTAGTGATACAAACAAGATGGTTTCTTCTAGGAAAAGATGGACTATTTGTATAAATTGCCCACTAGTATATATACATCTGAAATACTTCTCAGTTAGACAAGCATTTTACTCACACAATAATATAATGATACTATATTATAGCAGAAAGAAGCCCTAAAGTGAAACTGTTTTGTATACCTCATGTTCAGTCTGACATCTGGTAACTGTATCACAATATTGAAGATGGGACATATTGTCGCACTGGAAGCACCACGTGCCGTTTCCTGGCAATAGTTAAAATACGATAAACAGAATCAACATGGAAATAAGCGTTCAATGAACGCAACCCCCATAGGACCAAGCCAGGAGCCCAGGGGACCCCAAACAAAAATAGGAGAGGGCACAAGGTAGATGATTATCACTTTAATAATACATAAATGTAAATAATAGTAACTGACAAGGAAATCAAATACAATTGATTGATCAATAGGTCTACAAAGTAAAGGGAACTGAAGTACGGGGAATGGGAGGGGCAAAATTTAAAAAAAAGCTAGGGGCAAAACGGAAGAGACTTACCTTAGACGAGAAAAACAACAAGAAGGACACAAAAGTGTCATCATAATAGTATGAAACAACAAAAACCTCTTAAATAAATGTAATTTTTCGTCAAGATCGTTTTAATGTTATAATGACGGAAGCATTTAATAAATTATTTTAGATACGGACATGTTCATGATTTCGTGGTGGCCAACTGATTGAACGTCAAAATAGTTACACTGTAGTTTGACTGTAACTTTATTAACTAATGTTTTGACTCCTGTCAAATACTTCCATAAATACCTGTAATAATATTTCCTTGGTTCCCGTTGTTTCCGTGGGAGGTGTGTGAATACAATGCACTAGCTGTTGGCCCAGTAATATGACCGGCTGAACAGTCTGTATATATTGGAAATACAATATAATAGGACGCAAAAACCATTCGCCGATTTTATAGCTTTTAAAATTGGAAATATTAAAGCAAAAACTTCCAATCAAATAAATTCGATTAGAAAGTGGAAAAATAATGCGTCTATGGTGGCTGATTTGTGCGGGGTGCCAGGCGAAAACACGAAAATGCGACAGTCACCACTTTGTCGTACTTTTGCACTGCGGGCGTAAGGCGAAAACATGATAATACGACAATGTAGTGATTTTGTCGTTTTTTCGTGTTTTGCCTTGCGCCTTGCGTAGAGAAAATACGAAAAACGACAATACAACAAAGTAACTACTTTGGGAGTTGGAGCAAAAGTACGACAAATTGGCCACTTTGTTGTTTTTTCATTCCGCGGGGCGCCATGAGAAAACACGACATTGAACAAATCAGCCACCATAGTTTTCATCTACAGACAAGAGAAATATGTTATGACTAATTAATTCAGAGGACCACAAGAGTTATTGTTTAGTTAAAGTGTTATATTTGTATCAAAAAAGAACCCTACTCTAGACATAACTGTCATTATTGTAAAAAACAAAAATTACAGTGAATATCCAGTAACGCATGAATGTGAATATAACGCATGAATTGAGCAAAAAAACCTCCAAATCTGTGCAAAGCTATGGCCAAAACGAGTAACACGGTTAATACAGACCAAAGTATTTGATATATTTAATCAAATAATAAGAATTGAATAAGCGCATACGGCTGCATTGACAATATAATTTGTCCTGCATAACACATATTTCCATGAATATGCAGTTTATCAAAGATTATTTGTGAGCATTGCGACTGACTAACATTTCGAAGGCGAATTTTGTCTTTTGTCGGTATTGAATTCAATCAATATTCGGTATACCTCAGACAATTGCCCTACTAGTGCCATATAATACTAAAAGGAACTAATAGAATATGATTTCGGTACTTTTTATAAGGTATCCATGGTACACCATCCAAGAAATCGATGTTTCCAGTAAAATTGTCTCATATATTTTATAATATGACACGAGTAGTTTGGCAAATGTCCCAGGTACACCGGATATCAAAAATCACAATATAATATATAATTATATGTATCGACGAAACACAAATGTCGCCATCAATTTGCTAGTCAGGTCGTCATTCTCACGAATAATCTTGAAAAATAAACATTTTAAATAAACTTATTGTTGATAAGATTAATAATATAATGTCTCAGCAATAGTATGCGCTGATTCTATGGACAATGTTGGTTCATTTTCTTCCTAGTGTATTCATTTCGGCTACAAAACTGCATAATTCTGTGTTACTTTTGCACAATTCCTGTGTTATTTGCACATTCCTGCGTTACTGGATAAAACATATTCAATGTTAATTATAATTTATAAGATATTCTTATGAGCATTTAAATGCCTCCCTTTGAGCAGAAGCGGATGGGACTGCCTATTGACATGTGGGAATATACGTCAGAATTTTCAGACTTTAAACTGTTTTATCTCATCATGCCAAAATTAGGATTATATTCTGACAGGCCGAACACTGTCTTAGATTGCATAAAAAGAAAACTAAGATAAGCAAAATCAATATACGTGTGTCTAAACATACGCCTCAATCATAGCTGTTATTCCCGAGTTACTGACACGTATTTACGTGTTACAAGAAATAGAAACCGATAATATAGTATAACTTACCTGCGTTAGAAAACGCTAATTGCAAAGGATATCCATATGAGTAAGATGTAGAAAGCAATCCATATAGAGTGGCTCCAAACGGAATACCACCGGTATGCTGTAACCGATATAAACTGTTGTATGATACATTTACAAATATGGTTACATACTCCTCCATCGGACGTGCAACTGGGATAATTATAGCATTCCATGATGAAATGTTTTTTCCACCCAATGAAAGACCACTCATGTCATTTCGTTTTAACGTGATCGCAACTGTGCTCTTTACTCCGCTATATGATTCTGTTACAAACTTGTACATATTTTCATATTGTGAAATACCTTGCACTGTGGACATAAAAGGGTTTCCATACATGTTTTCATTATCTGCACAATACTGAATAACAGATATTGGCTTGGTAGATAGGATAACTTTTGGTTCTGAACCGAACAAAATCTCCTGATTAGACCCCCGATCCAGGAAAGACCCAAAATGATGTGTACTGTTGTAGAAATGAACTTCAGTGTTGTCGTAGTCTACAAATATTTTGACAATAAAGAAGTTATGAGGATATATTGGCGGCACTATAAATCGATTGCTCCAAAACTTCTGTGGAATCATTTGCTCGACGATATAATTAACAATTCCAATACCAACAGGTATCTGACTGGAAGTCGACCCGCTAAATACAGCCACTGGTTTGTCGCTTGTTATTAGAGCTCCACTTAAGTCGTAGGTAACAAGCAATTGGTAGGTTTCAAACTGATTTAGTTGTATATGTTCGGTTTTGGCTTTACCGTTAGATGTGTAGTTAATTTCAACATCTGTATTACTCTCTACTCCTGTAACAAGAATTTCACTGTAATATCCAGAAGGATGATAGGAGGCAGCTACATATCTTGTAGATAATGCTGTAACAGGAAGGACTAGGAATCCTTCTGTGTTCTGATTATAACCTAGGAACACTGCTACAGATATGTTGACATCAGCGTAAATCTCAATTCCTTTAAACTGTTTCCCAGATTCAGTTTGGATATGAGTGTAGGATATGGTTCGAGAAGTATAGTTTGCTACTGTAAATTCTTGATGAAGGTTGTTGAACGGTGAAGCGATCCGTACTTTAGCCGTTGCATCGGTCGTTGTTGTGATAAGGATGTACACGATATTGTTTGATGGTGAATTGACTCCGATTAAACCAAACATGAAATATTTACCAACAGATGCTGAAATGAATTTTAATGGACATTTGAGGACTATTTATAGGCTTTTTAGGAATTGTGCAACATTTTACAAAAGCAAAGAAGAAAAATTTGAAATCTCTGAAACTTTGCATGATTAAATAGAATCATGATTGAAACAAATTGATGAAAAAATGTGGGGGTCACCATTCTATTAGCCCCTAGAAGTGAGTTTTCTTGTTTTTTAAGAGCAGGGCTGTACAGTGGAAATATATGTAATTGAAATACACAATGTAAATATTGGATGAGATGATCATTTTTATGATGCTTAAGATTCTGTGGAGTGATATTTATACAATTAGCCTCAGGAAAAGAGCACAGGCTTGAGCCTAGTAATTGCGGTTGATATAAAATACATAAACCAAACATTATTCATAACTGAGCTGACCACCAACCATGTGGTCGAAGTTAATATTTCTTTACTTATTTGCCTTAATAAAATGTTGCAATTCTAAAAATGTCTTACAATAGTAAAGAAACATCCGCATGGGATACAGTAAAACATAAATTTAGAAATTTTGATGATTCTTTTCAAAACTTTAGAGCATATTATGATATATAAATATATGTATATATATAAAACTGGGTATGTTAAATGATTAATTAGGTGAAAAAAGGTCAAATACATTATAAATTCAAGACAAATATGATTTTCCCATTATTTGAGAAAAAAAAAAACAGTTTTTATTGCTCAGAATTTCTAGCAATCATTTTGTTATATAATAATATTCTTTTTTTCAATACAATAATTCATCCTATTTTTATAGATTAAAAATATTATCTTAGAAAAATATCTTAGTCCGTTTAAGCCTTGGTGGATAATTCTTAGCATTATTAACTTACATGCAACATCTGGACGGCATTCTTGTTCAGCAACAACATTAACTCCCAGGCTTACCTGCGAAAAAGAGTAAAAAAGTGGATAATTAGTTAAGAAATAAAAGGAAACAAGCAAGCATTTGACCATAATTTGACCTTACCTCTGATGCGTGGAATTCTATTCCGATGTTTACGATTAAAAATTCTATCTCCCCCCTATATACGAAGAAAAGAAAACAGTTAACTATCAATGTACCTTTCTAGTGTTTACAGTTTTATGTAAATTGGCTAACTTGTTATCCAATTGCTATACTGACAGGTTGACCTGGTTTGCACAAAAGAACACATGGTTATGTTATTGATACTGTTTGTGAGCAGTTGACCTATCAATGAATGGAAAAGGTGTGGCTAAATGTTCCGCTACGAAAAACCGGAAAGGTCCATAGACTAGGTGTATATACAGCTGTTAAATTTTCTCCTTCCGAACACAAATACGAAAATCGGCAGCGGACGTTATCTCCGCTTGAAGAAATACTAAATGAATTATTAAATGAAATTGTCAATTATTGAAATGTTGGCTTATTAGAATATATTTACAATTAAGACTAGTGAGTAGATATGTTAGTCAACAATAACTGGAAAATTTTATTCCTGTAAATTATCTATTAGTGAAGAGAAGAGCTAAAAACTTACCATACAGACTTTTGCCAAATAAAGAATGTACCATCTCGACATCTTGTCTGATTTTGGACGAATAAATAGTAATTGATAACGAAAAAAACGAACACCTGCTATTAAATTAAACTAGAGATAAGGCATTCAACATAAGTCATATTGCCAACGTTTTGACCTATATTCTATTTAAAAACTTTCCTTAGTTGATAATTCGTTTTTCTATGTTTGATATCATGGGCATTCTACAATATACAAGTAAATCATGAGTACACTTTAAACCTGGGGGTGGGGGATGGGGGTAAACCCAATATAGATCTAAACATGAACATAGGCCAAAAATATACGGACAAAATTAATGATACAAATATTAGATCTTTTTCAACAAAATACAATAAACAAACAGTTAAATAAATTAAGTAAATTAAATTATATCATTATCTGTACTAGATCCCACAAACGGCGTTTGTTAAATCAGTTCCGTGTTCAAGCCGCCATGTTGAAAACGAATTGCGTTTCCGATCATGCTTAGAGTGGTTTCATATTAACAGGTCAGTAAGACCTGTGTACACACCGAATCTGAATACAGTAAATATAGCGGACACGGTTATAGCGAATTTCCGGTTATAAGGAACAATTTATTTTGGCCCGAATTTTGCCCCTCTTTATTTAATGTAAAATATAGTTATAGCGAACATGGTGATAAGGAATTATCGCTTAAAAGGAACTCACTTTTTAGTCCCAATTAAGTAAAACGTACAGAAAATTACACTTATATAACGAACTCAAAAATATCGCCTATCTGTTTGATAAATCCCACATTTCTTCTTTCGTTTTCATCGGCGAGGATTACAATTCGATCAAATGTACGTTGATTATTATATGTACTTCAATACAGCTAAAATGAAATTGTATAACAGTACGTTATAGTTTTCTATCTAGGATATTTTAGCACGAGTTCTTGTCACCAAGATAAAAGGATTATTCATTTTATTCCATTATTTTTTTTGTGTAATAGTTTTGCACGAGGAAAATAATTGTGATCATTTACAATCGGTATAAGATATGTAAACTTCTTTATAAAACAATGTTGTCTTTGTCCTCTAGGAATATTGTTAATTATAAATGGATAAATTTTGTGAAGGAAACACTAAGTAATCTTGGCATGTCAGAATATTTTCATTCACGGAAGGTAGATAATATTAATCACTTTAAAAATATTGTGAAGCTTAGACTACACGATCAATTTTTACAAGATTGGCATAATACTATTGAAACATTAGAAGCAGTCCAGAACAAAGTATATTCCATGCAATGACAATCATACCTTTCAAAGTTCATGGAATCAATTGGTCGTCAAATACGTGTTGAAAGAGGTTGAAGAGATAGTAAATGCAATATCATTTGTGTACGAGTATGTGGACAATTATGATCAATCGAATATTACGGTAACATATGGATATTTTCTGACGTTTAATTTGAATATTAGTATTGCAAAAGAAGAATACACTGATGTTGATAGCAAAAACCCACTATACGAAAGGTCACGTGAGCGTCTTCTAAAAAAATGATAAAAGGACATAAACCTAATGAACTGAATAGAGTATCAGGACAGAAAAATGTCTGTCAAATCCGCGAGAAAGAATGCAGTCACTGAAGTTGTCTCCAGTGTTTACTTCTCTAATTGATTAAGTAGTGTTAAATGAAATAATATCATGGTATGTTTGAAGAGTTATTGACCTAATCAGAAGTTGTGATGGAAAAATACTGATATATTGTATTTTTATCTTTTTAGTTTCGTAATTATGAGTAATTTATTTTCTTTATAAAAAAAATGAAATAAACTTGATAATAGAGCTGTTTTAATGTAATTATCTTGTTTTTAACTATTTTCATTCTTTTTTTTTTGTTGTTTTTATAATAAAAATATATATCAATTTTGCGCATAAATTGTATTTCATTTCTGATATCTGAAAGGTAACCGAGTAGACAATAGAGACAATATGAAAATACGCAATTATTTCCTTGTATTGTTCTGTTTGTCTTTCTTATGATATAGTACTATCAAATAAAGTAAATTTTTACTAAAATTCTTAAATGTTCTTATTAATAAAAAAAAAGATTCCTCTTTTTTCATGAAAGAATAGCTTTGAAATACTTAATTAAAACAGTAATTAAAACAGTCGTAACAATACCAATAAAGACAAATATTTTTCAAACGAATAATTAACCATTTCTATTGTTTTTCTGTTTATAACACATGATATCACAGAATTTGGAGTTAATTCAGACAGGACAGGACATAAATGCTATTTCAGAAGAAAAATTAGTAGCTGATTATTTTTATTTTTTATTCATGCTACTCAAACTATCATTTCCAGTACGAATAAAAACTTAGAACTTTCCAAAATACACCATTTCACACAATTGTTTCATAATTTTCTGTGGAGGTATGTCCATAAAACTCCCTAGCAACTTTGTGAATCCATATGAACACTGGGCTAGCTACGTCTCTGGAAATGCCAAAAGTTTTTCTACGAAGTTATCATACCATAGAATTAAACACACAATTGTCCAATGAAAATTAACTTTACAAATGGGCCTAAAGTCAAGAAAAAGAAAGTCTTTATTGAACATTCATCAAGAATTTAAAAAAATAAAAGATAATGTATTTAAAAGTACGTTTATGCATACTTTTCCTTGTTTGGTATGTTTTGATTGCTAATGAGCCAACAAATATTTCATTTCTTTGTTGTGTTTGATAATTTCTTCTTATTTTAACCTAAAAATAATATTACCTTATGTAATTAAGACTGAGCGCATCCCCTTTTCTAAGCATTCAGTGTATTTCAAAACAAGTTTACAATTTAAAACAAGGCGGTTGTCCACAAACCTACCCACCGTTCTAGTCAGGCAGGTTACTGTCGTATCAATATTGAAATTGAAAGTGCATTTTAGTTTTATCAATATGTGAATGCTGACATCCGTGAAAAACAACATTATTCTTATGGTTAAACAATAGTTATGATAAATACACGTTTGCCAAGACTTCAAAACAACATGATCATACGTCTAATAAATTTGAAGAGCACAGTTATAAGAGCACAGTTATAAGAAAAAAGGAGCGAATGAAATACGTACAGATAATGTACGAGCATTTTATTATTTCTGAAAACATTAGCACCGACTAAGACGCGAACAGGTAACAACTTTCGATAATTTCCATTGCTTATAATTGTGATTTGTCTGCTTTTGTGTTGGTAAAGACACACCAATGGTTGGGCTTGCCGAAGATTCAGGACGGAAGCCTCTAATAGTCCGTCAATAGTAATTTACTGCTTTGTATTGGTCAAAATTAGTAAATACGGAAGAATCTGTGCATTTTGCATGTAAAAACTGGTTTTCTTTTTTCATATAAAATCATTTTTGATTAAGAATAAGTTGAATGTATACTTACCTTCTTATCTTTACACATTCTCATTGCTAGAACGTTTGTACAAGTTCTTCAGCCTGTGACTAATTTTATCAATAAATGGCAAATTAGCTTAAACGCACATTATTCCTCAAAAGCTAATAATTGTTTACTTCTTTAGAAAGGGGGAGCAAGAGTTATATATTGTTTTTTTTATAATTGTTTAAGAGCATATTAGATGATTGTTACCTGAAGACATAAGTGATTATATGGAATATGTTGTTATAAAAGTAGCAAAATGGAAACACAATTGTATTTTGACTTTCATACAAAATACTTAATCCCTATAACTGTACTAAATTCTAAAAAGGAATTTGGATTTTGTTAGAAATTTCTTAAATACAAGTAACCCGAGGCTGTTAGTCGAGCCTTATCTATTTATACAAAAAATAATTAATTGTTTTATGTATTCCTTGTAGTTATTATAGAATTACACATGATCATCTCTTATAATTCCATATGGAAAGGCATTGCAGTTATTTCTTTTATTTGAAAAATATGTCGTTGTTGTTTAACTGTATGTTTTATCATGTATATGCAATGATAAACTGTCTATGAAAAAAAACACAACAACAGCAATAAAAAAAATAAACAAAAAAAACAACAAAAAAAAAACGATGAACTTCAAAACTATTATATGGTGGCATGTGTATATACATAAAAAGAAAAGAAAAGTAGAAAAGCAATCAAGGAAATGTGTGACGAGTTCAGAGCGTCATTATGTTAAGATTATTACATATTGAAACCATAAGAATACATATTGAAAACAGTATTTCATAATTTTTCAATGCACCTGCGAGGAATCTCTTTTTCTTACGGAATGCCGTTAGGGCCATCGCCTATGAATGTGTTGATCTGAAACGCGATAGTCGATAGTACGATGGTGAAAACGCGAACTCACGAAACTACGATGATGAAAACGCGAAAGCACGATGATGAAAACGCGATAGTACGATGATGAAATCGCGACAGTACGATACAACGATGATGAAAACGCGATGAACTATCGTGTTTTCACCATCGTACTGTCGCGTTTTCACCATCGTAGTTTCGTGATTTCGTGTTTTCATCATCGTACTGTCGAGTATCGCGTTTCATATCAAACCATTCATAGGCGATGGCCCTAACGGCATTCCGGAATGCCGTTAGGGCCATCGCCTATGAATGTGTTAATCTGAAACGCGATAGTCGATAGTACGATGGTGAAAACACGAAATCACGAAACTACGATGGTGAAAACGCGATAGTACGATGATGAAAACGCGAAAGTACGATGATGAAATCACGACAGTACGATGGTGAAAACGCGATAGTACGATGGTGAAAACGCGACAGTACGATGATGAAAACGCGATAGTACGATGGTGAAAACGCGATAGTACGATGGTGAAAACGCGATAGTACGATGGTGAAAACACACAGTACGATGATGAAAACGCGAAATCACGACTCTACGATGGTGAAAACGCGACAGTACGATGGTGAAAACACGATAGTTAATCGCGCTTTCATCATCGTAGTATCGTACTGTCGCGTTTTCATCATCGTACTTTCGCGTTTTCATCATCGTGCTTTCGCATTTTCACCATCGTACTGTCGTGATTTCGCGTTTTCACCATCGTACTATCGACTATCGCGTTTCAGATCAAC